TCATTGTTAGAATGTTTCATTCAATACTCAACAAGTTCAATGTTTGCAAATATTTTAGAGTACTCACATTTGTAATTCCCCAATTAATTAACTATTCAAATATATTTATATTTTTATTCCTCTCATTGTCTTAAACTGTGTCCTACACAAACTGTATGCCCTTCAAGTACTAAGAATGCTTTGCAATGTTCATGTGGTCTTTAAAAGACAAATCAATCTGAAATCAAGCATAAGAATAAGGTACAGTATATAGATGTTTTCAGCATGGATGAAGTGACCATCCCAATGTAGCTGAATTGCATGCCCAGTATTAAAGATGCTTGCTGTGATGGGTAATTATATCTACATGATTGGCACAGGTCACCAAAGGTTGATTAACACATGAATGCATATATAAAAATATAGTTTTAGGGGACCACATTCGAAGTTTCAGAGCTATTGCCTAGAATGTTTAAGATATCCTAATGGATGCTGGGATGGAGAACTGAGGAGGATACCCAAGCTGAGTCCCTTAAATTTCTCACTGGGTTTTGATAGCTTTAATTTTGAGAACGTGCTGGTTGATATTGCAGGGCTCTGTGTCCCTGATATCAGAAAGTATATGTCTTCGTTAACAGGCATTGATACCCAAAGAAAATCGAGGCACATTTCAGAGCCCAAAAAAGTTTGTGTTAGAATTTTCTTCCTGGCAAGGAGGATTTACATTTTTTAACCCTTGATTATGTGGCGTACTAGAACCATAGTTTCAGAATTATGTGAATTATTTTTTTCACTCCCATAGACTGTCAGGATTCTCTTTCTTGACATAGAGTCGTGTGAAAAAGAAAGTACACCCTCTTTGAGTTCTATGGTTTCATGTATCAAGACATCATAAAAATCATCTGATCCTTAGCAGTTTGTAAAAGTAGGTAAATACAACCTCAGATGAACAACAATGCATGATGTATTACACCATGTCATCATTTATTTTACAAAAAGAAAGCCAAAATGGAGAAGCCATGTGTGAAAAACTAAGTACATATTATGATTCAATAGCTTGTAGAACCACCTTTAGCCTCAATAACTTCAAGTAATCATTTTCTGTATGACTTTATCAGTCTCTCACATTGTTGTGGCGGAATTTTGCCCCACTCTTCTTTACAACATTGCTTCAGTTCATTGAGGTTTACGGGCATTTGTTTATGCACAGCTCTCTTGAAGTCCAGCCACAGCATTTCAATCGGGTTGAGGTCTGGACTTTGACTGGGCCATTGCACAACCTTGATTTTTTTTTTTTTTCCAGCCATTCTGATGTACATTTGCTGGTGTGCTTGGGATCATTGTCCTGTTGCATGACCCAATGTTGGCCAAGCTTTAACTGTTGGGCAGATGGCCTCACATTTGACTCTAGAATACTTCTC